GGCCCCGGCCCGGCCCCGGCTCCGCCCGCCGCCGCCGGGCGGGGACGAGCGCGGGCGGCGAACAAAAGGCGGCGGAGGGAGTGTGGGGGGAGGCGGGGGGCGGCCGTGCTGGCGGCAACAGCGACCCCTCCGCCCGCCCGGAGCCGCACCATCCCACCCTGCAGCGGAGCGCCGGCATCCCCGAGGGATGGGGCGTCCCAGGCGGATGGGGCATCCCAGGGGTGAGGGGTCCCCCGCGGGTGTCTGCAGCAACGCGTGCTCTTTAGGGAGCCGTGACATGGCAGGCTCTCCCCAGCGGTCCCTGGAGCATCCCTGGGGACAGCGTCCCCTCGTGTGTCCCCTGCAGAGCAGGTCGCGGGGGTACCCCTGAGGAGGAGGGTCACTCCGGGGCATTGCAGCTCCCGGGACGCCCCTGAGGGTAAGAGTCCCTGAGGACCGGTCTGGGGAAGGAGGTCCCCAGGGTGTTGCTGTAAGCGCAGCTCCTCCGGGGCAGCCTCAGAGGTGACGGTCCCCGAGGGACACAGGGTGACTGTCCCCCGGGGAGCCACGTGCAGGGCATCCTCGGAGCTGGGAGTCCCCATGTGCCCCGTGCATGGGAGCTCCCTGGGGCCCCACTTGGTGACGATGCCCCGAGACCCCTCCGCTCCCCAGGGCCCCTGCAGCTGCCGTGCCAGCAGCGGGAGCGCGCACAGGGCTCTCCAGGGGGAAGCCTGGAGCAGCGAGTGCCTGTTCAAGTCTGCTCCCACCCACCCGCCGCGTCTGTCGTACGTTACCAGCCGGCCCCAAACCCACTGCGGAGCGTCCAAAGGCTGAGTTTGAAAAATGCTCCTGGGCTGTATTTGTAAAATGCTGCTCTGTGCTTTCCCGCGCGGCAGCACGGGCAGCGATGCTCTGCTGCAGCACACGGAGCCCGGGACCCCCTCGCTGCTCAGACTCCATTTCTAATGCTGGGCAGCACAGCCCCAAGGCAGCGCCTTCTTTTGCCCGGGGCAAACCCGAGCCTGGCAGAGGGGCGGAACCCGCTGCACGTCTCGGTCCTAATCTGCCCAAAATAAACACTCGTGGGGTTTATTAGGACATCGCTCAATAGCCCTCTCTGTTCAGCTCGCAGCCCCCTGCCCCCCTCCCCAGGCACCCTCTGGACACAGGCTGGATTGCACTCCTGCTCTGCCCTGAGCCAGCTGTGCATCCAGCACAGGAAAACCAGGATTGCACAACAAACCACGATTGCAGTGATACCTTTTGTTGCAGGTATCGCTCCCTGTGGCTCGGGGGGCTGTAAATCCGTGTGTGCCTCTGGCCACGGCTTGCTGAGCCCTCCCGTGGCTCGATGAATGCCAAGGTGGTGTCTCCAGCCTGTCAGCAGCTTATGAGCATGACAAGGGGGGTGTGGGTGGAATAAGGGACCCCAGGAAGATGAGAAGGGCTCTGCGTCCCAGCCCCACACTGCAGCACAGCCACTGCCCTGCGAAAGGAAGGTTCCTGGGCATCCTGCCCTTTCCAGGGTGAATCGCAGCCCCAGGTGCCATTTTCCAGGCTCTGGCAGCTCGCCTGGCGCCACACCTTGCAGGAGAGCAGCTGAGCAGTGCCAGGTCCCGTCCCGCGGCGGGTGGCACGGCCGTGCCCGTCAGTCCGTGCTCAGTCCGTGTCCTGCACCATGGGCAGCCCTGCCGTGACTCAGTGCTGCTGCATGACTGCACAAGCCCCGAGCGGGACAGGCGCTGGCCGAGCAGCCTGCGCTCATTAACGACCGTCATTAGCGCTGCTCCCGGCAGTGGCTAATTGCGTAACGCCGGGCGCACGGCGGGCTGCCCTCGAGGAGCCGCACAGCTGCAGGGATGAGGGCAGCATGTGCACAGCCTGCTCCTTGGGAACAGCCCCAGGATGCCATAAGGAGGGACAGGACATGCCCCAAACAGAGTTTGTAAAAAGGCTTTCCCAGGGAAGCCCACCTCTGTCAGATCTCATCTCTCACAGCTCCCTTGCTGGAGCCTCGTACTCATCCCTGCCCTCTCAGCCTGGCCCTGGCTTGTCCCCACTCCTGTCCAGCTGGTCTCAGGTTGTTGTACCTCTCCTGCGCTTGTGTGGCCAGGTTTTGGCAGTGGGGGGAGGGCTACAGGGGTGGATTCAGTGAGAAGGTGCCAGGAGCTTCCCCCATGCCCAGCAGAGCCAGTCCCTGGTGGCCCCAAGATGGATGTGAGCCCTGGCTGTAAACCTGGCCAGTGCAGCACCCCAAAGAGGGCATGAATCCCATCACAGCAGGATGTGCATCCTGTGGTACCTGTGCATCCCCACAGGCATGCTGTCTCACCCCCCCTGCAGAGCCAGCTCTCAACAGGCTTTGGAGGCAGGTGAGGGATGAGCCCCGTGCTGGGACTGCTGACCAGGGGAACAGGGCTCGAAGGCAGGAGCAGGTTTGGGGTGGAAGTGGGAGGGATATGAACAGACCTCAGAACATCCCCTGGGGCTGGAGGCGATGCTGGCAGCCAGGTTTAGAGCTGAGCCAAGGCAGGTTCCTGGCCCTGTGCTCACCACCATCACCCTGGCACTGCCACGGAGCTGTGCTGGAGGGCACAGAGCCCTCCATGGCCAGGGCTGTGCCAACTGATCTCATTGATGGTCTGTTGTAGTGGTTGGTCCTGAACTAGTTGTTCCCAGGGGAATTATTCAATAAATTTGAATTAAATGTGGGCAGGCGGCTTTCTGAAGCCTCTGAAAGGAAAGCAATGAGCTTAAGCAGCCCCCTGGGCCCTCGGGAGGCCTGGCTGGCAGCCAGCTGGAGCCAGGATCCAGCACAGCCCTGAGCAGTGCAGAGGGAAAGGTCTCAGCAGCACCGTGCACTGCAGGTGGGGCTGAGCAGGGTTCTCCCAGCCCATCCTGAGCCTCACCAGGGCCTGGGAAGGGGACACAGGGGAGGTGGCCAGAGGCAATATCAGCCTGTGCTGGCTCCTGGCACAGGGACCAACCCTGCAGAGCCCAGCTGTCACCTCCAGAGCCACCAGCACCAATCAATGGCACCGTTGGTGTGCACAAGGGCAGGAGCACCCCAGGGGCTCGGGGGGACATCCCAAAAGCTCTGTCCCCAGTGCAAAGGGCTGGGCCCAGGGGAGAAGCAGGAACCAGCAGCAGGTGTTGACACCTGAACACCCTTCTGGACCAGGCTCTGGGCTCTGCACACTCCCTGCTCCTTCCCTGGCTCCCAGTGGCAGTGCTGGCTTCCCTCCAGCCCTCTGATGGGGCTGTCAGGTGCATTACAGGGCAGGGTGCTCAGCCTTGTAGCAAAGTGCAGCAAGCCCTGAGGAGTGGCAGGAGGCAGGAACTGACCCTCAGTCCCCAGGGGTGCAGATGGACCCAGTGAACCCGGCCTGAGCTGTGTTGAGCAAAGACAAACCCCTCTGGTGATTCTACAATTTCTTAGGGGAAAAAAGCTGTAGAAATGGTTGTCATGCTCAGGCAACATTCAGCACCCCCCTTGTTCAAACAGCATTTGCACCTGCTCTCCAGCACTTTATACAGACACTCCCCCACTGCTTGAATGACAAATATCCAAGTGCATTCTTTTGAAACACCTACATGCATTGTTTACTGTGTACTGTGCTCCCCCCTCCCCAGTGCTGCCTCCACTGAGGGGATTTTGCTGCCAGGGAGGTCCTGAAGAGGGACACGAAGCCAGGCAGCCCAGGGGAGGCTGTGGCAGCACAGGGGACTCTGTGTGGCCTGCCATGCCTTGCTCACATCTGCCATGCTTTCCAGCTGTGGCACATCTGCTTGCAGAGCTGCTTAGCGTGATGTTGCATCAGGATAGTCTGCAGCAACCATAGCAACGGGGCTGCCTTGGATTCCCACCTTCCTCAGCAGAAATGACACTGATTTCTCCCAAATTTGCTGTTGCCTGAGAGACACCAGCAAAAACCCCTGGCCAGGCAGGAGAGAGGAGTTCTGGGAAGGTGCCCAGGTTGTCCCCTGCTGTCCCCTCTCAGGTGAGGACTCTGGTGCAGCGAGCAGCTCCAGAGGCTCCAGCCAATCCCACCTGCACCAGTCAGACCCTCCACAGAACCTGAGCTGCATCCCAAACCCTGGCCCCCTCCTCCAGCATCAGCAGGGTGGGGAGCACTGCTTCTCTGCCCCTACGGCTTGGATCCCACAGGAGGAAGGAGGAAGCACCAGCCATGCCAACACCTCAGGGCTAGCAGCAGCCTGTGGACAGACAGCCATGCCCACCCTGTGCTGTACAGCAGAGCACCAGGGCACTGCCCCTGAAAGGGCTGCTGCCCTTTGGAGATGGAGGCCCTGGGCCCAGGAATGGCCACGGGGATTTAGGGAGTGACAGCAGCTCTCCCAAATGCTGAGGGCACCCTGGGAAAAGGGCAGCACCCAGTTTCTATGGCACAGCACAAGCTTCTCCCTGACTGGCAGTAAAGGATTAAAAACCTGCAGGTGCAGGGGAAAAAAAACCAAACATGAGACACTCTGGGCTCTCCTTCCCTGGCCCTGAGCTGCACCCACTCCTGGGCCAGGAGGATCAGCACCCACTGCTCTGCCACCAGCCTCTCCCTGAGCCAACCCCACCTCCCAGCACTCTGCACTTTGCAGCTCATGCTCTCCTGTCGCCACAACTTCCTCACCCAGCCCTCAGAACAAGTCCCAGAGCTTCACTGAGCCCCCCAGCCTGCTCTGCCCTCCCCTGCTGCTGCTCAGTGCTCCTGGGACCTGCTTTGGGGAGGAAGTGAGGGGCCTCTTGCTTTTGGGGTACAGATCACCACACTGAGGTCCCTCTGCCCTGCCCTTGCCCAG